GTGCGTGGGGGTGCCCAGAGCAGGGGCTGCGGGGCAGGGAGGCGCGAGGAGAGGGCACGCAGCGGAGCACGGCTGCCCGCAGCGGGGTGCCGGGGCAGCGCGAGGAGCCATGGAGACGCCGGAGCCGGGCAGCGCCGCCGAGGAGGAGGAGGAGAAGGCGGCCGAGCAGCGGCCCCGCACGCGCTCCAACCCCGAGGGCGCCGAGGACCGGGCGCTGAGCGCCCAGGCCAGCGTGGGCAACCGCAGCGAGGGGGAGGGCGAAGCGGCGAGCGCCGACGAGAGCCCCCCGGGCGCCGTGGCCCCCGATGGCCAGGCCTGGCCCGGCCCCGCGCACCCTGCCGAGGTGCAGGTGAAGACGCCGCGCGTCAACTGCCCCGAGAAGGTGGTGAGTGCCRGGCACGGGCATGGGGACGTGGCGGGTGCCCGTGGGCCGCACGCTTAGGCCGCCCTTGCTCCTGCAGATCATCTGCCTGGATCTCTCGGAGGAGATGTCGCTGCCCAAGCTGGAGTCCTTCAATGGGTGAGCGGAGGTGCCCCAGGCTCCCCGGGGACTGCGGGTGCAGTGGGGTCCCCGCTGAGGACTCTCTCCCGGCAGCTCCAAGACCAACGCGCTCAACATCTCGCAGAAGATGATCGAGATGTTCGTGCGGACCAAGCACAAGATCGACAAGAGCCACGAGTTTGCGCTGCTCGTGGTCAACAACGACGCCACATGGGTGAGCGGGCCGGGGCTGGTGGCCGAGCTGGGGGGTGTCCGGCGGCTCCGTGTCCCCCCGCCCCCGGCTCATGCCGGCCTCTCGCAGCTCTCAGGCTTCACCTCGGACCCTCGCGAGGTCTGCAGCTGCCTCTACGACCTGGAGACCGTCGTGTGCAAGTCCTTCAGTATCCTGCGGCGGGCACCRAGGCTGGAGGCTCGGCGGCCTCCTGGGCCCTTTGCCGGGAGAGGGCAGCAGATCCCGCGGATGGCGGCTCCGCGCGGATGCTGCCGCTCTGTGGGAGCCCGCGGGGCTGCTCCGGCTCCTGATCCCGGCTTAGYGCTGGGAGCCTCCGGCGGGGTTGGGCAGGGAACGTCTCCGGGGCGCAGGATGGGCTCTGTGTGCAGTGACTGTCCTTAGCTGTGGCTCCAGACCTGGAGGGGCTCTTCAACCTCATGTAAGTACCGCTGCCCACTGCGGGGTCTGCCCCTCGCTGCCCTGCACCCCCTGCCCCTTCTGGGCAACTTCTCTGTCCAAGCCCAGCTCTGCCCCGTTTCCCATAAAACCGGTTAAGTCCGGGGGCGATGGGGATGGTGCCGGCCCTGTGGTGCCAGCCAGCCGCGTTCCCGTCCCCTCTGAGCTCCTGCTCCGGCGCAGCCAGCAGAAGATCGAGCTGCCGGTGACGGAGAACGTGCAGACCATCCCGCCGCCCTACGTGGTGCGAACCATCCTGGTGTTCAGCCGCCCCGCCTGCCCGCCCCAGTTCTCCGCCACCGAGCACATGAAGGTGGGTGCTGCGGCGTGGGAACGGGCACGAGGGACCGGCGGGTCCCGCTCCGGCGGTGCTCCTGGAGCCGGGCCGCGTCGCAGCTCCGCTTGCCCCTGCAGAAGATGCTGCAGTGCCCCTACTTCTTCTTCGATGTGGTTTACATCCATAAYGGGGCTGAGGACAAGGACGAGGAGACGAGCTGGAAGGTGAGCGCTGAGTGGTGGGTGCCGTGGCTCCACGGCTGAGCCTGCCTCCATGTCCCCTGTGTCCCCCCGCCCAGGAGATGTACGCCTTCTTCAGCAGCCTGGACACCAAGGGCACCAACTACAAGTACGAGGTGTCGCTGACGGGGCCGGCCGTGGAGCTGCACAACTGCATGGCCAAGCTGCTGGCGCACCCGCTGCAGCGGCCCTTCCAGAGCCATGCGGCCTACAGCCTGCTCGAGGAGGACACCGCGGCCGAGAGCGAGGCCACCGTGTGAGCGCCCGGACCTGGGCACGGCGGCGGCTGGGGTGGCCAGGGGGGCCCGGGCCAAGTGCCTGGTGTGGAGGCCACGGCTGTCAGTAAAGGACGGAGGTGGCACCGGCGCTCTGGCTGGTCACTGGCATTGGGGCTCAGGGCGAGCGGGAACGGGGTTAGTGGGATCAGCTTGGCTGCTCTGTGCTGGGCAAGGCGCTGGGTGCCTCTGTGGGGGCTGGGACTTGATGGGTGCCCCAGTGCTGGGCACTGGGTAATGCAGTGCAGGGCATTGGGAGGGCCTGGAGATCCCAGTACTGGCATCGCAGTACAGCGCACCGGCCCAGTGTGCGCGCAGGCCCGTAGGGCCCCCGCTGCCCAGTGCGCACGGAGGCCCGAAGAGGCTCTGCGAATGCCTGTGGGCTCCCTCTGGCCCGGGGCACATGGAGGCTGCACAAAAGCCTGTAGCCCCCCTGGTGCCCCAGTACCCATGGAGGACCAGGGAGGCTGTACAAAAGCCTGAAGAGCCCCCGAACCCAGCACACGTGGAGGCCCAAGGAGAAAGGACGAAACTCCTATGGCCCCTGGGGCCCAGTGCACACGGAGGCTCAAGGAGGCCGCACGCAAGCCCGTAGGGCCCCCCGGGTGCAGTGCCAAGGAGACCCAGATGCAGAAAAGCCCGTAGTGGCCCCGGGGCCATGTGCGCATGGAGGGCCTGGGAGGCCGCATGAAAGCCCGCGTGGCCCCCAGACCCGGTGTGCAAGGAGGTTTGGGGAGGCCACATGAAAGGCCATAAAACCCCCTGGCCAAGTGCGTATGGAGGCCTGGGGAGGCCACACGGAAGCCTGTAGGGCCCCCTTGGCCRAGTGCACGTGGAGGCCCCGGGAGGCTGCATGAAGGCCTGGAGGGCCTCTCTGGTCCAGTGCGCACGGAGGGCCTGGAGGCTGCACGCAAGGACCACCCAGCCCAGTGCGCACGGAGGCCAGAGGAGGGCGCATGAAGGCCCATAGGGATCCCTCCTTCCCCGTCCGGATGCGCACGGAGGCCCGGAGAGACCACACAGAAGCCCATAGGGCCTCCAGGGCCCAGCGTGCATGGAGGCTGGGGAGGCTGCACGAAAGCCCCTAGGGCCTGCCCTGGTCCACATTTGGGGGTCAAGATTTCTTGGTGAACGTTGCTACAGTGACTAATGTGCTAGTATCCGTGCTGGTTCATCCCCTCATTCTGGGTATCGGGCAGGTGACTTGGCCAGCTCCGAGCTTGTCCCTGTGCCTGTGGTTATCCAGGAAACACAGGGAGAGTCATTGGACCGACTGCATTGGAAACAGGGTTTTGTATTTTACAGACTAGTACTGAAACGTTCCATCAAAAACTTATGCTAGGACTATTCAGGCATTGAGAATATAATTGCACAAACATTGCCTCCATAAAAAAAGGTGTGTTGACATAAGGTATATTGGTTTAGTTAAAATAATACGACTATATTTAATTATGTCCAAGTTGTGAACACATCTTCTGGCTGCCGTTAGCTGAGGAGGCAACAGTTCCCTGCTAGGTGGGGGGTGTGTGCGCTGCACATCTGCCTGGATTGCATGGAAGTGCTTTTTTTCCAGAGTTTCCAAACAGCTGTGATCTAACTGGGGCTGATTAAACACCACATAAACCCTTAGTCCTTTAATTCTGCTCAGATAAAATTTCCAGAGAGGGGAAAAGAAAAACAAAAATGGAAAAAAAGGGGGCTTCTAGTTRGCTAGCAAAATTGTAGGAGGTTGAGAATAGGAACCTCCTGAGCATCATCCATGTCGAGAGGACATCAGTCCCCAGCTTCATAATGCTGAGATTGCACTTTCTAAGTCTCAACGTGGCCTGTACCAGTGTCACCAGGCTGCAGTGCAAACAGGTAGCCCAGAATGTTGTGCACCCTTTGCTGTAGACTGGCCTGAGGCTAAACAGAGGGTAAAAAGGCAGGTTAGGAGAAGTAAAATTATCAGAATCTCATAGATTATTGAAAGTCTTAGAGGTTACGAAGAAATGCCCTTATTTTGCTTTACTTTTTTACTGAAACTTTTTCAGTATTTTGGTGAAATATTCTTGAAAGGTAGAATTATTGTGAGTCATGTACTTGGAGGGAGAACATGGCCCTTGTTTAAGACGTCTCTTGCAGCTGTTGCTGTCCCTGTTTCGTAGCAAGGTCATGTCTGTCACTACCATCCAGATGCCTGTTCTCAAGGTGTCTAAACATGGTTTTCCCTGCGAGCAGATCTCCACCCYGGTGCCTTCAGCTTCCCCTTTATTCCCTCTTCTTCTCCTCTCACTGCTTTTCAKTGTATTTTCTTCTTGATTCAGCTCTTTCATTCCATCAGTTTATGGAAATCTATCAGTTTATCTCAGGAATCAAAGTGTGTAGGTCCACTCCAAAGTAGTGCTGTTTGATTTTTCTTGTTTTAATTATGTTTGAATTGTTCTAGGTATTTGTAACATTTGTCTTAAGCAGTATTTTTATATGTAGAAGGCACACAAAGTCCAACTGTAAGTGACCTTGCCATTGTATTCCCCTGAATATCTACTGAGCAGGAGTAGGGTGAGGGTAAAGAGTGATGTGGAGATCTTCCAAACCCACCTGGATGTGACCCTGTGCCCCGTGCTCTGGGTGTCCCTGCTTGAACAGAGGGGTTGGACTAGATGATCTCTAGAGGTCCCTTCCAACCTCTACCATTCCGTGATTCTGTGATRCTTGCTGCCATCCAAAAGGAAAAAAACAACAAAACGAAATACCTTTTCTTTCTCTCCTCTTCTTCTGTGTTGCCTTTCAGTTCAGAGGGGGTTGAAAGSAAAGCAATGCTCTCATAGGCTGTCACGACAAGAAAGTGCATTCTGTAACATCACAGCAATTAYTGCCTTGAAATCACTTGCACGATGAAGAGACTTGCAGGCAGAGTGAATCGGCACAAGAAGACACATGCTGTGATGCTGTTGGGAAATTSCAGTCTGGCTTTGGAACAGCTACACTCAATGGATTCAGCCTTCAAGTCCAGGCAAAAGCATTGGGCAGAGTTGTTTTCCTACCAGCAGCATATTCAGARATTTCTGACGCAGAAGACTACATTCTTGGGGCTCTGATTTGAGCAGGCACTGACCCAGCAGAATGAGAAGAAGAGCACTGCGGTGCCTGAAGGACAGAGCAGCTCGACCAGGAGAGGCTGGCGTTTCAATTTGCTGCTAGTGCCTTTAAACCACCTTCTGGAGTGTCTAGTACTGAGATTTACTCAAGTGCTGCTCTTCAGCAGCTCCCTGCTTAGGAAGAAACAGAGCTTATCCCCTCTGCATCACAATTTAAAATCATTGTAATCTAAATGTTGTGGCTCATATATATAAAAAGTCAGTTTAGACAATATTATCTTGCATTGGATGATGCTGTTTACRCTTTTGTAAAGAGCATGCAGAGAGCAACCACTTCAGGCTGCCTGCAGGACCCTGGTGAGGAGGTAAGGATGATACGGACTGGGATGAATCTGACAATTTAGCTTCTTACAAAAGCTTTTGGGTAGGTTTTAAATGCTACATGGGTTGGTGCCTGCATAGCAATACCTGTGCCTGTATATGCAGTATAATATACAATACAGTATACAGTAAAAAGCTCTAATGGGATTTTCCCCATTTCAGCTGGCTGAATACAACCAAGTGTTTTTCATGCAATAATGCCCCAAAGCATTTTTGTTTCATTTCTCTGAGAAACTTTACTCTTTATCAATAAAACAATTCAAAGGAATAGTTTGACAGTTCAAAATKTAATTCTCAGCCACCCAACTTATGATATTTTCCATAGATAAACACGAAATTTCAAAAGATTGTCTTGTGCTTGCAAGGCATTTTCTTCCATCCAAATATCACTTCTTTTTGGTCAAAATTTCGTCTCAAATCACTTTGAACAGGTTCTTAGAGATGATGGAATGATTACCGTGTTCCAATTCACTTTGAGGAACGTGCCCTCGTGTGGGTATCTGCTAAATTGCAGCAAACTTGGTTCCWTGTGAACAGGCCTCATTTCTTCTCCTCTTTAACTATTACCATCATCTTTCCTCAAACAAGACTAGTTTTACTAGAATGAGAACTGGTTTATGCAATATATGCAAGAAATGAGGAAAAATTAATCCCAGTGACCCACAGGTCCTAATTAAAAGCAACAACCCTGYGATGATTACCCATTTGCCATAGGGAACTGGCTAGCTTCCAAGATTTCCAGGAATTTATCRAAGTTTTAGGTTTGGCATTATTAAGCATTTCAGGATACTGCTGGCAGTGTAAGACAAGATAGGGAACTTCTGGTTTTGACTTCATACAATAATTCACCCTTCTGAAAACATAAGAATATATCAGAATGTGTTTCACATGTGCTTTACAGAGCTAGAAACAAAGTGGRGGAGAATCTTGGGCTGGGGCTGAAGAAACAGATCTGCAGTCACACATTGCAGGAAATATTAATCTGGGAAGGATTGAAGGCACTTTTGAGGAATTTCAGTGTTCTTAAGAAATTTCAGCAATGATCCGCAATAAACATGATGCAATTCAGTTTGACCAAATGCAAATTAGTGTATTTAAGCAGGAATAAATTGCCACATTATTACAGGATGAAAAATGACCTATATATTTCTTCCTGTAAGGAAAAGCCCAGATTTTCCATGCAGAAACAGAGGGAAATTTCAAGTTTCAGCATTGTTCACTTTAGAAAACAAAAGACTGAGGGGAGATATGAGAACTATCTTCAAAAACATCACAAGCTGATGTAAAGGAGAATGTATTAATAAGGTCTCTCCCACAGGAGCAGAACAGAGGGGAAGAACTTGAAATGCAACAGGAGAGAAATAGATGTAGAAATGGGGTGGGAGAGGGCAGAACTGTCCAACCGTAAGATCTCAGCTTTCATTATGCGGATGGTAAAGCTGGAATGAAAAGAAACAGGGCAGGACATAGGGAGCAGAGCAGCTCTTCCTCCTCCCTTAAAAACTGCTGTGATGCCCCTTGCCATCTCAGAGCTATGCAGGACTCACCGGTCACTTCAAACTTGACCAAAATATCTGGTGTAGCGCTCAGTATCCACGTGTGGGTCCATAGCCTCAGCTTGGCTTCTCTCTTTCCCTAACAACGTGAAAATATGAGTTACATCTGCCCCAGCTACAGACCGGCACTGATGCAATGTGGGGTTTTCCCTGCTCTTACCTTGTTATAAGCAGCGTCCCAATGACCTGCAGTGCTAGACACTTACACATACCCGAGCAGTCGTGATTGTGCGTGTGCGCCCGGGCAGCTCTTGCTCRGAGTCCTTTCAGCCAGTAGATGTCTCCTGCACCCGCTCCCTGGCTCCACTTTCTTGCTGGAAAAGAAAGTCTTCCTGTTAAAGCAGTCCCGAGTTGGAACCGAGCACTTTTATACAGTTTCTTTGCTTAGCTTAAAACCCGTGTTTGTGGTTCCACCAAGAAACGACTGTTGCTGACAGATATTTTTGTACCTTGTGACAACTTCTACTGGTCGCCCCATCGCATCCTCCGAATTTTTCTTTAAACACTCCATTATTACTTCACCCATGGCTCAAGCACAGCGCGTTCTGGGCCGTGCAACAGCACGCAACGCTGCAGCACCGCAATGTGTGTTATTTCTAGGGAATTTGCATCCGAGCGGGAATTACCGCGTGCCGCCTGCATCAGCCACTCAAGACCTGTAATCCGCTGTTTGTTGTTTGCGCCTTCCCAGTTGGTCGCTGTGGAAACGATTTTCATGTCCTGGAGAATTATTAGTTCAGGTAGGGAGAAATAAGCAGCGGGAGCAACAAACTCTTGAGAGACAAAGGACCTGTTTACAGGCAAATGTCCTTGTGTGGAAAGGATGGAGGGCACAGAAATGCAGCTTATCCGTAAGCAGACTGTTTCCAGTGAGTTTTGTTACTTACCCACAAGCCAGCAGGAACTTTTTAATACTTCATATCAAAAAATAACTTTTTAAAGTGGAAAAAAAAGTAATAAATCTAATAATACCTGCCTGGTTTGCTAGCTAACAGCTTTATACTACCTCAGTTCTCTTGGGGATTCAGTGTAAGTGTCTCTTCCTCTGCCTTCTCACCGATTATCTATTGGGAGCTGCCAACTCTCTGGTGCAAAGGATATTCTTTTTTTTTTTTTCCTCTTTTTTTTTTTTTGCAATGTGCAGCCTGAGGATCACTGGTTGTGAGGACTTCTGTACGCGACTGCAATATAAATTACTAACTCACCTGCTCGTTGTCACGTAACAGGATCTGGTAACTAGGTGTGTGTGTGTGKGGGGGGTGTAGGCAAGCAGTAAATGAGACACCGGGAATTCCTCACACCTGGAAATGCAGCAGTCTCATGCGAACTTGGTTGAGCACAACTCATCTCCCAGGGATGTGTGTGTGTGTGTTTGTTTGTTTGTTTTTCATATTCCAAGGCAATTTTCTAGTGCAACACTGAATTTCCTATCACAAACAATGGATGGGCGGGTGACAGCCTGCTTTTTGGATGGGGAAAATGAAATCCTCGTCCTCACCACTCATCTCCCTCCTGGATCCCCGGACACCTTTCCCAAAGCAGAAGTGAGTGCTGCTGCCCCAGAGCACCCATGTTTTTGAGCCTCCCCCTTCTGCACCAGCCCCCGTGCCCCTCGCACCCCAGCCCCTTCCTCTGCTCCACCTCCCCAGGCCTCTCTCCCCCAGTTTCACTGCTCCCATCGCTCCCTCATCTTGCTTCTTTTGACACCATTTTCCTTYACCACCATCTTGCCCAGGTCACCTCAGCCCCTTCTCTCCACCAGCCTCCTTCAGGCCYGTCTTGTGCCCAGTCGGGTCACCTCCACCTTGCACCTGGCCCCGCAGCCCCACCTTGTCCCCAGCCTCTTCACCCCCATCTTGCCCCAGTCACCTCCATCTAGTGACCTTCCCCTCAGCCCCATCTTGTCCCCAGCCACTTCACCTCCATCTTGCCCCAGCCACTTCACCTTGTCCCCAGCTTCTTCACCCCCATCTTGCCCCAGTCACCTCCACCTTGTCCCCAGCTTCTTCACCCCCATCTTCTCCCCAGCTTCTTCACTCCCATCTTGTCCCAGTCACCTCCATCTTGTTACCTTCCCCTCAGCCCCATCTTGTCTCCCGCCACTTCACCTCCATCTCGCCCCAGGTTCTCCCTCTGCCCCATCTCTCCAGCAGCCTCCAGCACCCCCGCAGTGTCCTGGCCCCTGCAGCCCCATCTCTCCTCCTTGTCCCACATATTTCCCTCCGTTCTCCACAGTACCCCCCTTATTGTTCCCCGTATTATCCCCTTTGTCCCCCCCTCCCCGTCACGAGGCGCCCGGCCCATAACGGCCCCCACACTCCCCCCCCCGCGCCCCGCGCTGAAGCGCCAAAGCGCGCGCCAACTCCAGGCCCCGCCCCCTCCCCCGCCCTATTGGCCAGCACCCAGCACGCCCCGCCCTCGCGGTGACCGACAGCCGCCGAGCCAACCGCCGGGCGCGGCGCGGGCGGGGCCGGCCCGTGACGTCGGGGGAGAGGGTAGCAACAGTTGCCTCGAGACCCGGCGCGAGGCGCCATAGTGACCGTAGCCCTGGAGACTGTTACTTGCCAACGGGCGCAACACGCAGCCCCGGCGGCCGGAGCGCAGCGCAGCCCGCGGAGCCCGCCGGGGAGGGCAGGTGAGCGCCGCGGAGCGGCCCGCGCGGAGCCCGCGCCGGGGGGGAAGGGGGTCCCGCGCCGGGAAGCGGGGCGAGGCGGCGGAGCGGCGCCCGTCCCGCCCGCGGCGGCCGCCCGGGAACGCCCCGCCGCGGCCCGGCCTCCCCGCGAGCCGGCGCGGGGCCTCGGCGCCGCCCCGGCCGAGTTACGGGTCCGGCGCGGCCCCCGCCCCGGGCACCCCCTGGGTTCGAGCGCCCAAGTTTCGTGCCCTTTCCCAAAGCCCCCGAGGCTGCTCCGCTCCGCTCGCCCCCGGCCGCGCTCCGGTTACCTGCGCGCGGGAACCGGAGCCGCCTCCGGGCACCGGCGGCTGCTCTGGTAACTCCCGCCTTGCTTCTTTCCTCCTGCGCCGAGCCCTCCGAGCAGACCTTAGTTCAGCCCTACCARACTCCGGCCGCGGTGCTTCTCCTGCTGCTTGCCGAGCGCTGGGAAAGGCTCCGTGTGAGCTGCAAAGCAGCGCGCTGGCCAACTTCTCCGGCTCCTTTTGGAGAAACTTGCGTCCCGTTTGCTTTGTCTCCTCGAGCACTCAGACCTGTCTCGCTGCTCTCCCCAGTGCACAGATTTGAGGGGGATGCAGGGGAGCAGGGCTCATTTCAGCTCGTGCCCCTCCATTTAGTCTCGCAGGGCTCTGMAACGCTCTGTTTGTTTTCTGTTGGCCGTAGCAATTAGTAAAAATTGAAAGAGAGCCTATTTTTAAGCATCCCCGGGCTATTCTTGACCTCCCTTCTCCTGTTTGGAATAAAAYGTGCTGTGGAAGAGGGTGCATCTCCCGTTAAAGCAGGGTTTGGTGTGTGTGCCTATTTCGAGCCCAAGTTCCTGCCGCCTGATTAAATCTTTCCACTCTTTGACTCACATGTTAAACTACTCCAAACTTTTTTTCGTTTTGCATCCAGAAGATGCAAACCTGGCTTATTAAAGAGTGAAAGGAGATAACTAGTGACAAGCGATCTGCTCTATACGTTTCCCCTTGGATCCTTAAACCGATCGCATTCACATTTGCCAGGCCGGACTGTCATCTGCTCTTGGTCGTGGTCATCAATCATTTGAACCTGGGGAGGGATTGCTGGCAGGAGGGGAGAGTGCAGTCTCAAAATATATGACCCAAACTCCCGAAGATTTGGGTATTTTCTGTGCCTCCCTTTACCGTCCTCCTCCAGAGGCTGGTTCAGTCATGTTAAGGTTAATTCAGTGCTATCTCACAGTGGGTATTTTAAAGTTACATGACTACTGGAGCACAGCCCAGGCACCTCACAAGGACCTGTTGCTGTTACGTGGTTTCAGAAGGGGGGAATTGKCCTCTGAACGGGTCTTTCTGTCTCTTTTGAGAGGTTAAATAAGCAAAATTGAATATTTGACTTCCAGATGTCTAAAATGGGTTGAGAAAAAAGTCTTCAGACCCAACAGTGGYTCCTGGTTATCTGAAATGAGAGGGGCCTGTGGTGCTCCACATGCAGCAGCTCCCAACGTCACTTCTTGTTTCACTTTCACAATCTTTGGTCACAGGAAAAGCAAAACCAACCCGTTTCTTTAACTCTCCATATTGCCGTCCCGTGGGACGTGAGCTTTTGGCGAGACTTGCTTTTAATTTGCCCGTTGGCGTATACCCGAATGGGGGAGCACGCTGCTGTTCTTGCCTTCGGCCCTTGGCACTCGCACTCGCAAAGCCGCCTCAGTACTGGTGAGCTTTGGGAATGGGACTCGCGTGGAGCCGGGATCTTGGCTGCCAGGGTGCGAACGCACAGAGAAGACGGGGAGAATTGCCAGAACCGAAGCGTCTTTGTCCCCGTTTGCCTTCCGCAAAGTGAGATGGGCGCTCACGAGCGCCGAGGTGCTGACGGGACCTGCGGCGCTGCGGAGGAACCGAGGCCATCGACCTGTCGAGCTTCTCCTGCCGCGCTCCCCTGCGCTGCCTTTCCCTGCTGTGGCGTCCGCACCTCGGAATTCCGGCGTGGCTCCGCGTCCCCGCGCCGGAGCCCCGGGCTCGGCAGCCGGTGGAGGGTGTTCCCCGGCACCACGAGTCTCTGTTCTTGTTCCCCTTCCCACTGCTTTCTGTGACTAAGCGGCTGCCAGCTTAACGTTTCRCTCAGGGGTCAGCAAGCGCAGCTCTTCTAGCTTGTTCAAAATAAAACAGACGGCTCCAGTCACTCTCCCTAAATAGTCTCCCGCTTGTAACACCTCGGCACGCTGACAGCTGTTGGGTTGCAGGCGGCGCCAGTTTTCGCTCCCCCGAAGCCTCGGGAGCGGGGCTTCCTCGGCGCGTTCGGCCTCGCCGGGCTCTGCCCCGGCTCTGGGGCGCAGTCCCCGGCAGGCAGGGCGCTGCTGATTCAACCGCCTTATCTCGCCGCGCGGCGCCTCGGCCACGCTTGCTGCTGGAGGCTGCCGAGGTGGATTTCAAGCAGCTCTCCCCTCTTTTCGGATGCCGGCGCAGTCGGTGCCTGGCGGGCAGCCAGCTGGCGCGCGGTGCCGCGCCGCGGCTGGCGGAGGGCGTCGGGAGAGCGGCGCCGCGCGGCTCCGCGTYGCCGTCCCAACGCTGCAAACGCGGCGGGGGCCTCTTCCTTTTGCTTTGGGCTCGGGGCTTTGCAGCCGGGTATTTTCTCTTATTTGTGCTTTATTCCCGTGGCCAAGCGGTCACGAAT